TTCTGGGGGTATTTGGGCTGCATTTGGAGTCTCAGCGTCTTAGGCCGCAGGAAGGTGGGTGATGTGCGGTTCTTCTGTGTTTTTTTTGGCTGTAGATGCCCTTCAGGACTGCCTTCTTGGCCTTTAATGCCTTTGCTTTGCTTCAGTTTTGGGAGGGGTAGGGGCTTCCTTCTTTGCTTTTGGCGCCATTTTCAAAAAAGGTCATACATTGCTTTTAACCTCTTAAATATTAGTCTAATCTAAATACTCTTTGCTACAATTCAACGGCATAAATTCTTCTTCAGTTTTCCTTACCCATGCTCCAACTTTTATATGAATAGAAAGTAATTTAAAAGGTCAAGGCTTAAAAAAAGAAAAGAAAAGAAAAGAAAAGAAAATGTCAAGAGTTGGATCAAGGACACCTCAGTCTGCACACTGACTTTCTTGCTCTTTAGAACTTTGGATCCGTAAGTCCCTGATAGCAGATTTTCCAGTGCAACACATCTTTTAATTTCTTGATTGCTACTACCATGGGTTGTTGTTTTGTACCCTTTAGTCAGAATTGACCCATAACTGACCCTCCAGTGGGTATTCAGAAGAACTCAGGAATTTAAGGAGCTGAACAGAAGATTTCAAAGAACAGCTCAGGAAGACAAAGCGAAGTAATTAATGAAATGTGCAATGAGCTAGAGTCAGAATATTAAAAGGGTCAAACTCATTCATCATTTGTTAAGCTGGAGGAAATAAAGAACTACCTAAGGATGCTATGGGAAGAAATGTTGAATAATCCAGCAAGCATCAAAAGAAGATGTAAAGGGTACACAGAGACACTGTACCAAAAATAATTGTCTGTCACAGAAGAAGTTCATGAAACAACATATGACCAAGAGGCAATGGTGAAGAAGAGGAAGTTCAAGTTGCGCTGAAGGAATAAGTAAAAAATAAGGCCCCAGGAATTGATGAAATACCAATTGATTTCCTTCAACAGATGCAGCCTTAGAAGTGCTCACCAGTCTGTGCCAGGCAATCTGGAGGACAGCCACCGGGCCAACTGACACGAAGAGTTCCATATATGTACCCATTCCAAAAAAAGGTCATCTAAGGAGTGTGGAAATTATCAAACAATATCACTAATATCAGATGCAAGCAAAATCCCACTGAAGATTATCCAAAAATGACTGGAACAATACATCAACAGAAAACTACCAGAAACATAAGCTCGGTTTAGAAGAGGCCATAGCACTAGCGACTTTAGCCAATATTATATGGATATTAACTGAAAGCAGAGAGTACCACAGGAATGTATATCTGTGCTTCATTGACTATACAGAGGAATTTAACTGCATGGATCACAACAAACTGCGGCTAACCTTAAGAAGAATGGGAATCCTAGAACACTTGACTGTGCTCAGGCAAAATCTATAGTTGGGCCAGGAAACAATCATCAGAAAAGAGGAAGAAAACACTGCACGGTTTAAAATCAGAAAAGGAGTGCATCAGGGATGTGGCTTATCTCCACACCTTATCAATCTGTATGAAGAACAGATCCTTCAGGAGGCTGAACTTTATGTGGAGAAATGTGGCATCAGAATTGGGCAAGAAGCTGCACTGCAATCCCAGAAGTGAAGGAAGA